GTCTGTTAGCTGGCATTTTTAACAAAGAACTTTCACTTCTTCCCTTTATTTTCGGTATCACTGGTGACTAATGCACTTTTATTCCATGGGTTATTTTCTATCACTGTCATTGTTCTTTCTGATGCCTGTGCTGTCCTAGATTCAGCTGCAGGAGCCTTCAGCCTGTCTCCTATGTCCTTTCAACTGTCTCTGTTAGTCTTTGAGCATGTCTTACTTTCTGACAGAACCAGAGGATCCAGGCTCATTTTATCTTCTTTCTACTTTGGGCCTGGAATTAGCCATTTCTCTTAAGGATCATGTATTTTTAGCTTAGAAATTGATGAAATTTCCAAAAGATCTACAAAACACTAACTTCCTTTTTGAGCAATTTTCTTCTAAATTTAGATTAACCTTTTAAAAGGGTTATTCATTTATTCTCTGTATATACTTTTCTAAAGTGTGGTATTAGGGAACCATGCCTGAGTTTGCGTATTAACTCTTCCAGTGTTTATCAGATCATTTTTTACCTCTGCTATGTCATCCTAAACAATTCTTTGACATTTTCTATTTCTTTGTATTTTTATTGACCTTATTGTCATTTCTAGATTTGCTGATGAACCTGCAAATTGAATTCGTTTGCATTTCCTTGGTAATAATGTAGGCTGTTTATGCCAAAGGAAGAAAAACAAATGGGCTTGAAACTGATCAAATGCGATAGAAAGCCATTTTTGCAGATGAAGATGGACCTGGAGATAGTGATGTTGAAGAAAATGAAATTTCTGAAGATGACAGATTGGAAACTGTCTCAAGTGATGAGGAAGCAGAAGAGGAGGAAAATGCTGAGGTGACTGATCAGTATATGACTGCTAAGGGCATCAAACGAGGGAAGCTTGAGTTGGAAGAAGACAGTGAAGTAGATTTGCCAGCATTTGCTGACCGTGACGTTGAGCTTGAGGGGAGCTCAGCAGAAGGGGAAATGGAATAAGCTGGGGAAAGCAGTGAGGAAGAGGACTGCACTGCAGGAGAGAGGGGCATTTCAGGATCAAAGACTGTTGGAGAAGGTAGTAAAGCAGAGGTGTCACAAGCTAATCCCCAGAGTGATCCTGTAAATCTGGAGAAGTCTTTGTCGATGAAGAAAGCAGCCCTTACCTCTTCGTCTCTGGGCATTGCACAGCTGACGAGGCATTTGCATCTGAAGATGAATCTGAAGAAAGCTCTTCATTCAGTGCAGAGGAAGAGGACCTGGAAAATGAGGACACTTTTAGGAAAAAGGTTTCAGAGCCTTCTCAAGTGGGCAGTGGTCAGAGCCTCGGGTGAAGAAACTTAATTGACGAGACCAGTGTTATAGAAGATTTACTCAAAGAAGAAGAAGATTGCAAGGAAGAGAAGAAGGAGTCCACAGAAGCCTCGGGTAAGCTTAAATTTAGTTGGTTGCTGCTATGAACTTGACTCTCGAAATGGTACCCAAAGGAATGTCTACATTTGGGGGTCTGTTGATTTTGAGATTTTGGTAACTGCGAAATGCTGCATTGTGGATGGATCTCGGGGGAGGGGAGACACGTAAACAAGTCTAACTGGAGGTTGACGTTCGTCATTTCAGGTGCCCTCAAGTGGAAGGAAGACCTTTCCAGAAAGGCACTGAGGCCTTTCAGAGACAGCAACAAGCAGCTCCAAACCTCCGAAAGCTTATTTATGGGACAGGCAAAGAATTCTGGCTCAGAGCTGGAAACATTTCAGTTTCTCTGATTATTTTCTAAAAAGGAGGTAGGGAATTGGTTGGAGTATTGGGCTGGTATTGTTGACATCCATCATTGCTGGCCGTCACATTTCCTGTTTGGCAGATGTCTTTAATCATCAGCTTACAAGGACCACACATTGGTCTTGTGAAGTACACTTCTGGGTTTGCTGTAAAACTCGATGCAAGTCGTGTCCATTGCATCATGTCATGTCCCCTTTTAAAAAGTCACTCATGAGAAATTTTTTGTAGAATTTAGTGCCAGAAAAATATTTCTGCCCATAAAAGTATTTATTTGCTCCTTTCTGAGAATGAGAGCCCTGTATAACACATTTTGTTCTCTTTTGCCCTTGTCCTCTGATTTTATGCTTTGTTAAACATACCTATATGTTCTTTGTGGTAGAATTAATGCCAAAATAAAGATAGAGTGGTGAACTTTACATTGTGTTCCCTGGTTACTTCACGATGAGATCAAGGCCACATGGTGAGACACTTGGGCTCGGCACAGTGAATTGGGAGGGTTGTTTGGCACTGATTTTCGTTCAGCTTTTGGCTAGGTACTCTCAGTGATGAGAGGCTCAACGCTCTTTAGAGCTCTTCTTTAATAATTGAAAGCTCTGCTTTTAAATGTCCCTTCCCTCCTTGACCCCTAGTATTCTAAGTCCTGCTCAACTGCTTAGCTGCTGCCATGCAGGAGTGCAGGAACCCCCACACATGTAGAGCAATAGCTTCCTGGCCTCTCTTTACCTGTAGCTGACCTGCCCTCTCAGTGCCTGACTCACCTGTGGCCATTGCTGTAACCACCACAGACAGAGGCCCTTGGTTCCTGAGTTGGAAGAATCGTGGCCTAACTGGTTGAAAACAATGAGTCCTCCAGAGCTGTAGGTTTTGTTCTCACTTTTCTGCCATGGTGTTCTCTTTAGTGACAGAAGATAATGAAGAAGATTATGATACCTGAGAAGAGCTTGGAGGGTTGTTTCGTGTCAGCCAGCCTGACAGCGTGGAAGCACAAGGCCGACTCTTTGGACTGCTTCAGATTTCTTGTGGAGGTGCCCCATGACTGGGATTTAGAGGAGGTAAGGCTGGGTAATACGTTTGATTTATTAGAGAGCTGTTCTAGAATAAGATTATCTGATGTCAATATTCCGTACCTGTTGTTGGTTTCTTATTTTTATAGGATGACAGGTCATCCTCCCAGTTACTGTGGTGGGCAGTTCATGCATTCTAAGCAATAACACATTCTGAGTTTAATTCATTGCACAGCCCACAGAGGACAGGTTCAGCTTCCAGTATGAACAGTAGTGCCAATGTTTATTTTGAAGCATCACACAAAAATTTTTATACATCTGATGTATTTTGTGTCTTATCACTAGGATATGCGTAGCATCCCTGAGTTAACATTTATAGTTTCTGCTATTTGTAAGCATCCAGAAATCTGTGATACCTGTAAATGTTCTTCCTGAGCTCACCGCTTTGTAGTCACACTGGAATTCATTCAGTACTCAAATGCCACACAGCTTACCCTCTTCTTAGGCCTTTTCTCTTTCTCTCTCTTTTTTGAGACATGGCCTTGCTCTGCATTCCAGGCTGGAGTGCAGTGGCACGAGTGTATGGCCCAATGCAGCCTCGACCTCCTGGGCTCAAGGGATCTTCCCACCTCAGCCATCAGAGTAGCTGGGACTATAGGCACGAGCCACCAAGCCTGGCTGCTGTTTGCATTTTTTTGTAGAGTCAATGTTTCACCGTGTTGAGTTAGTCTCAAACACTAGGCTAGAGTGATCTTCCTGCCTTGCCCTCTCAAGAGTGCTGGGATTACAGGAGTGAGCCATTTCATCACCCGTTTTCTCTATATTCTCTTCTGGAATGTTCTGATCTTCCAAAGGCTGTCCTCTTTTTTGTCAATTCAGTTTGGCTTAGGTGTCACTTCTCACAGAGGCCCAATTGCTCTCATTCTGCGTATTGTAATTTTCCAGTTAACACTTAATGCTCTTTATGAGATTTCATTTAACCATTTTGTAATGGTGAAATTTAATACAGATACAGAAAACCAAGTAAAAATAATTGTTTAACTTAATGGGTTGCCAGAAAGTGAATACCCCTGTACTCAGCACTCAGGCTGGGAAATCAAGCTTTGCTGCTTGATTACGACACCAGCCAGGGTCCTCTTCCTCCCTGTGGAAGGAGTTGTGGTCAAGCCTCTTGTTGCGACTCTTTTCTTTTCTCCTGGTTTGCTCTTCCATGCGTCCATAAGCATCGTAGTTTACTTTTACCTGATTGTCATTATGCATTTTCCGTCTGTCTTTTAAAATCGTTAGTCAACAACCTTCCTTCCCATTTCTTTTTTTTTTTTTTTTGATTACATTTTATTTAAAAAGCCAAGTCGTTGGTCTGTAGAGTTTCTCATGGTATGGATTTTGAGGATTGCTTTGCATCCCTCTGCAGTGTCTCAGGCCCTCCTGTATTTCCTGTGAATGGGTACGGAGCATTACTGATAGAAATTCTGTGATGACTGGAATGTATATCCAAGGTGTGGGTTGTGGCTGCTTGTGGCTACTGGGCACTTTAAATGTGGCTAGTGAGACGGGAGAACTAATTTTTAAATTTTATTTAATCTTAATTAAGATGAATTTAAATAGCCACATGGTTGTATTTACCTGATGGATGAAACATGTAGCAGTTGGATAGGATTTAAATTTGATTTTTATTTTTCAGCAAAACTTCTTCCCAGGTGGTGGTGTTTTCTTATTGGGAGGCATATAAAGACCGGCTGTGTCCTTTTAATGGCATGAGATGGAGAGATGGTCTAATCTGCCACACACTGCGATACACTGGGGCAGTGGCCAGTGATTTGAACTTCGTGGCACAGATGGAAAATTCCAGGTTCTCTTTGTGGTAGGCAGAGGCCTCAGTTTTTAAGAAACTCCCCAGCTTCACCCCTGCCAATGAGGACGTTGATTGAGGATATTCCTATCAGTTTGAAGTAGAAGAGATTGTTTCTTGATGTCGAATTTCAGGTGAGGAATCTAGCTCCTGCATATCATGGTTGTGGTGCTTGGGGTCACAGGTCTAGAGAGCACTGTCTGAAATGGGGCTCAAGGCAGTAGCTGTGAAAGACCCCTGGGATGTTTTCTGCTCCCCTCTCTGTATATCCCCTGGAGGGAGATCCCATTAGTCATTATG